TATCTATCTATCTATCTATCTATCTATCTATCTATCTATCTATCTATCTATCTATCTATCTATCTATCTATCTATCTATCTATCTATCTATCTATCTATCTATCTATCTATCTATCTATGTATCTATCTATCTCTGAGAGTTTATTAATGTATAGCCAACACTGAAAACCTGCATGGAAATGGCATGAAATACGTGAAAAAGGGAAATGTGCCATCATAAACATGGGCTCTGCATTTTCTCTACTGCAAGCAAATAAAGTAATTAATACTACCATGTCACTTTCTGTTCTGGGCCAAGGAAACTGCTGATCCCGGGAACATAAAACAACAACGGAATGGGCTACTGTAATAATCAATGGGTCTGTCCTTGAGGGCAGGTTTCCCTCTGCCCTCAAGGATACACTCATTAGGCCCATTAGGAAGAAACCAAGTTTGGCGGCGGACGAAATTGGCAACTATAGGCCCGTCACCAATGTTTCTTTCCTAAGCAAGGTGGTCGAGAGGGTGGTGGCCGATCAACTTCAGGCCCACTTGCAGGAAACAGATGCCCTGGATCCATTCCAGTCGGGCTTCAGGCCACGTCACGGTACAGAGACGGCATTGGTCGCCCTGTACGATGATCTGTTGAGGGAGGCTGACAGGAGCAAAGTGTCTCTGCTGGTCCTCCTCGATATCTCAGCGGCCTTTGATACCATTGACCACGGTATCCTCCTGGGGAGGCTCTCTGAGCTGGGAATCGGTGGCCTGGCCCTGGCCTGGCTCCGTTCCTTCTTGGAGGACCGTCCCCAGAGTACAGCTTGGGGAGAGGGTCTCGGCCCCGTGGAGCCTCAAATGTGGGGTCCCACAGGGGTCGATTATCTCCCCAATGCTGTTCAACATCTATATGAGGCCGCTGGGTGGGGTCATCAGGGGGTGTGGAGCCTTGTATCATAATACACTGACGACACCCTGCTCTACATCTCCTTTTCACCAACTGCAGGAGATGCCGTTTTGTCCCTTCAGCTCTGCCTGGGGACCGTACTGCAATGGATGCAGGAGAACGGGCTGAGGCTGAACCCGGACAAGACGGAGGTACTGAGGGTAGGCGCCCCCACAGCTGGGGGACTGGGAAACTCCCTCTCTTTTGGGGGGGTGACTCTTCCCACCAAGGATGGGGTCTGCAGCTTGGGGATCCATCTGGACCCGGCGCTCACTATGGAAACTCAGGTGTCGTCGGTGGTCCATACCGCCTTTTTTCATCTTAGGCGGATAGCCCAG